CGTGGAGATTTTTTTGTTTGAAGGACAAAAACTCTTCATCCTCACACGCTCAAGATAGTTTTCTTTCAGATAAAAGTAATACGATTTTCTACGTTTCATACAACCTTTAGGGCTATGGCCTCATCAACAACAGGTGAGTATGGACGACGATGTCTCTACTAGTGCATCCTATACATATAGCTGCTTTATTATTCTTATATTCTCGCGAAAAGAATTTACCGGCTCATATCAATCTGTTCCAGCAGTTCGTGAGACTACTGCCGAAACTGAAGCAACTGAACGAAACAATGAAGCAGATCCTGAAGCCTCCGAAATGGGCAAGCCACTAGTTTCTTCTTTATTAATATGGAAATATTTAATAGCAATCTTTTTACACTTTATTTAGATCGCGCTTTAACGGACCAGCCAATACTTGTTTATGCATCCGCTCTACAGATTTCAAGAAATGGTCGTGCAACTCCGGTATCATCAGGAACACTTGAAAATGAAGAACAGAGAGAAATAGCAACAACGACAGAAATACAATTGAGTCGAGAACAACGTATGTCTGACTATATAGTAGAAATAGTACTGTTTTTTTTCTTAATTCTAGATCTAAGTGAACAGAATAGTGATGAAGTGTTGGAGTGGTTTCAGTCCTATAGACTTGAAAGGTACATAATTAACTGAAACTATTAAAAAATCAATATTCATGTAGAAAAAAATATGATTTTCTCCTAGACTACATGCTTTCTTATTTCGTCCAGGTGACTCTAAGAATGGTGCGGCTTTAGCAAAAATCTTTGAGTTAAAACTTCAAGTAAATAAACTGAAACATTGTTGCTATATTACGACGTCTTTTCTTGTATTGTTCTCGTAATGATAGTTTTTGTGGATCAACTTGAAAATTTATTCATCAATCTTATTCCACGCTATCGAATGATATTGTCGCTTTAGATTTTCGTATTCTTCAATACGCGCAACAATTTCCTAATTCTTCGCTGACATGCTTTGTCACAACGGGAAAAAAATAAAAATCGTTTATCTTTTATTTTTACGTTTTAAAGTGAGATATACGTGCAAGCGAAAGGACATCTGAATACTTTTTTTTTAACTAACCGTACAAGTTTCTTGTCATATTTTTTATTGATATAGAATTATGACCGTTACAGAGTTCAATACACAAGTCGTTTACCACCCAATGAACATGATCTATTAAAAGCGTTTGATCGATTCGGACAATTACTCGATACATATTTTATTGATCAATATGCACATCGCTTTGATGTTGCATTTTCCTTTCCAGGTAACTAAAATATGAAATTTCTCTATTCTATAAGCTAGAAATTTCATCGTATATATATTCTAGGTGATATACGTGACAAAGTTAGTCGAATAGCTGGAAAACTATGTGAAAGACTTAATAAACAAAAGATTTTTTATGATAAATACTACAAAGCTGAATTGGCTCGACCAAATTTAGATCTTTACTTGCAAACGATCTATCGATATCAAACAAGATTAATTGTCGTATTTATGTGTGATGACTATGCACTCAAAGAATGGTGTGGTTTAGAAGCACGTGCTATACGTAGTTTACTGAAATCAAATCAAAACCATCGAATTATGCTATTATCAGTGGATGGAAAAACAATAGATGGTGTTTTAGATATTGATGGATATCTGGATATTTCAAATGAGAGTGAAGAGGATGTGGTAAATGCAATTTATAGCCGTTTCAAAGATCTTGACATGCCACTGCAACCATCACGATCGTTACATCAACTACCATTGCCATCATCGGCAAAAAATATGATATCAAAAATGCGTGTAGCTTTAAAAAATACTTTTCAGGCCATATCACCATGGTATATTGTAGTTGCTTTAATATCATACATGTTAGGTACTCTCACTGGACGCTAAAACAATATATTTACTTACTCAGGCAATACTTGGAAGAACTTTAATTTAACAGTTCATTTTTTTTTATTGCTTGTTTTATTTTTATTGGCTTTTACGATTAATGCATATATCCATAAAATAGGATCACCTTCCTACTGTTATTATAGGACATTAATTGCTATTATGGTCGTTTCAAGAGCATGAGACTCAATAAATGATCCTTTAGTGTTCGAGTAGACATATTCACACTGAATAAAAAAATAATACGCCTTCTCATAAATTTGGTCATTTATTTTCAATAGAACGATGGAAAGTTCTGTAATAGTAACTAACAAGATGCCATTTGGTATTTTGTTTGAGCAAATAGGTGCAATGCTCGAAACCATGTAAGAAATTAGCACCAGCTCGTGAAACTCGAACCATAGTGGCTGACTGCATTTCATCACATGTTATAAAGGATGCCCAACGTATTAATTGCTCGAGAGTTATTCGCTCCTTATCAAAGGTTAATAATATTTGAAGGAAACAGGTATTTCTTACCAACTTGCGTCCATCATTCCAAGTGAATTTATCACTTGAAATTTCAGACTGTAGGAAGACACTGATTGCTTTCATTAACATCATAATAGCTGCCGCACAGTGGGCAACTTTCGCATAGCAGGCAGACATGCAATTTTTTTGCTTGAAAAAGAGTTTTTACTAGTCAGAACAAGTTATATATCACTTAGAAAATCACCTTTAACAAGATAAACCATTTTTTGAAAAAAAACTTTTTTTTC